TCCCGGGACGTGCGGAGCGGAGTCGGAGCGTGGGGCGCCAAACGGCGAGGCACCGCCCCCGCCCCCTCCCGCGCCGGCACACGCACACACACACACACGCGCGCGCGCGCGCGCGCACAGACACACACACACACACACACACACACGGGCGCGCGCACACGCTCTTGCCCCCACCCGCACTGCGCCGGCTACCCCGCACGCGCCCTCCCCTCCTGCAGGATTCCAAAAACAATGCCCCCAGCACCGGCCCCTGCCCAGCAGAGGGGAGGGCCGGGCACGGATCGGAGCGAAGAGGAGGGGGCGCCGTGGGCGGGGAGCGCGGGGCCCCGGAGAGGTTCATTGAAAACAACAACGGCACGGCTGGGAAGCGCGTTTCCCGGTTCTTGAAAAGCCTCATTGTTTCTTGCAGCTGTTGCAAAATAAATAAATAAGTGCGTGCATGCGGCATTTTTTCGCAGCGGGCTGGAAAGCCCGAACGGGGCGGAGGGGGCACACCTGGGAGAAAGGGGACCCCGGGCTACTACGGCGGGCACTTTCATGCAATGCTGGGGACGGCCGCGGCGTCGTGGCCGGAAAGACCGGAGTTTTGGGGTCCGCGAGACGCTGAGGTGGAAGGGCGCGGCCCGGGTGTCTTGGCCGGGGACGCGAGGGGAGCGGGCCCGCCGCTGACCCCGAGCCGGGAAGGGGGGCCCAGACAGGCGGCTCTGAGTGCCCAGGGCGCGTCCCGCGGCAGCCGCCAGGGGGCGCGGCGGGCACTGGGGAGGGCTGGCCCGCGCTGTGTCACCTCCCTCCCTCCGGGGAAGGAAATGCGGGGGCCCAAGCTGGGGGTCCGCCTAGGGGACGGCGGGCCGGGTAGCACCAGCCCGGCCTCCCGGCCCGAGTGCTCCCCGCGGCCTCGCGTTTCTCCAGGCTCCACCACGTGGGCGGCTGCCAGCAGCGCCCGGGTCGCGCGGCGGCTCAGGGCTGCGGGGCCCAGAGGATGGGGGGCGTGTCCGAGGGGCCCCAAGAGTGGGGTCGCCGGGCCAGGATGCGTCTCTTGGCTCCCGTCGGGACCCAGAACCACGCCGCACACACCCGGCGGGATCCGTGGCCGCTGCGGACACCCACCCGCACCTGCCTCCCGTCCTCCGGGGCACGTCTCTCTTGCTTGATTTGCTACGTAAGTGACTAGGTATCGGAACCAACCCCAAGTCGCCTCCGTGGTTTTCTTGAATGTGCAGAGGAGAGGTTTTTCCGAGGCGAGACTGCCCTACGACTGCCATCTAATGAATAAATGCTGCGGAGACCAGGTCCTCAAAGGGGGAAACAGCGCAGCCCTGGCAGGAGAGAAGAGTTTGAAATGCGTAGACTTTTAAAAATAGTGATTGGACCACGTGTCGCCTTTAATGTGGTCCCTTCGTGACTCAGGCTAATTGGTGTCAATAATAAATAAAAAGATGGCTAATAAAAGAGTTGTGAATGTCTAGAGCCACTAGAAGTGTTTTGTCTCATAAGCAATCAGACCGTTTGGTAAGGGGGTTTGTTCTAAATGAAAGGTGGGTTTCTTGTATTACTCTCTAATTGTAAAAGGGTTTCGCGTTACATTATGCATCCCATCATTCATGTTAATTTTGATTGTTAGGAGCTGGAAAACAAACCAAAAGCCATCATAACGGAAACTTAGCCTTTTTTTCCCCCTATATTTATTCCCTTGATCATTTTTCCCCTTGGAAATTTTTAGTTCAGTTCAGTGAGTCAATTGTATAGAAGGGAAATAAACCTTTTTTTTTACTTAAGAGAGTTTATTCATATGGATGGGATTGTTTTGTTTATTTGAAATTCAACTTAATTTTTAAATAAAATATTTTAGTTTTAGATGTTCCTGGATTTTAACAATGAAAGAAATATAATCATAAAAAGAAACTGAAATTTAACATATATCAATTAAAAATTATACACTGAGTAATTAGAATTTATGCTACTAATTTCTAAATGTTTCTTCGGAGAGTTTCACTTGAGGTTGATCTTGACGCCTATAAATCCACTTTGGAGTTAGATGTAAAGCAATATCAATATTATATCTTTATTATAGTTAGTGTTCAGAATTTTTAATACATACTTGTAAATTACAACAAATTTTAGAGACTACTTTTAAAAGGCTAAGGCTAATATAAAACCTTTAATTCCTACATAATATATTTTTAGTACCTACTGAATTATTTCTGAGAACATAAGGAAATATATAAAGAGAAATGCATACAGTTAGCTAAATGGTAGGATTTTTTTTTTTAGCAAAAATGATTTTTCATTTGTGAATTTTAAAAATGTATGTATTTCCTTAAAGTAGTGGGAAATCAATGAGATTAAGATATTTTAGAAAGTGTAATTGTAAGATCTTATATAGCTTAATATTTAAGGAAAAATCAAAATTAAGGTTGCAAAAAAATTAGGTTGCAAAATCAAAATAATCTGACCAGATGACAAAGAAGATGATTTTTATTTTCTTCAATTATACTCTACCTGACTAAGTCAACCTTTTTTGAACCTTGGATAAAAAAATCGTGTAGAAAAAATTTAATTATAATCTTTGCTTTATAACCACATTAACAATACGTCACACTTTTTGTATTTCACAGTTTTCCCGAGATCTCTTATTGATGCCCCTTCTTTCGGAACAGAAGTGGATTACTTGTTTTCATTTCTTAAAAACTCTGTTTATCTGAACTTATCTTTCTAAACATACCAGACTCTCCAAACCGTAATACATATCAGGTAAAAATATGAGAAACAACACAAATGACAATTGACAAGTGATATATTGTGATATATTCCTAGAATGGAGTGTTATTCACCAGCAAAAACTAACGGACTGCAGCTACACACACCATGGAGGGATCTTTGAAACACAATGTTGACTGAAAAAGACAAGTTCCAGAAAATTCTGTGCAGCAAGTTTTGAACCTAAAAAAAAAAAAAAATAAATAAAAATATATAATAAAAAATTTTAAAGCAAGGAAATTAAATATGTGATAAATTTTTGTTTGTTTTATTTTAGCTAGAGGGTGAATGTAGGACCCAAAATTCAGGATCATAGTTAACTCTGGGAGGAGGAGATGGGAAAAGCCCACAGACAAGTGCTCATTCTTGGATTGGATGGTGAATTTATAGATTTCCGTTTTAATTATTATGCTTTATAACTAACACATATGCTATACATATTTGTATGTGTAAAATATTAAAGACAAATAAAAATATGAGAGAGATCCATGAAAGAGATCATCCCAGTTTTCTGATGATTCTTCCAAATTCCAAGCTGTTTATATAAATAGCTCATAAGCATTGGAGAACTACTAGAATGATAAATGCTTAAGATCTTATCCTTAAGGATACATTTGAGAAGAATGTGTATCCATGTCATATCAATGCAATTTAAGACAAAAGCAAATCATGGAACAAAAAATTTAAGAATAATTATTCACTTCACAGGTTAAATAAGTTCATTAATTAAGAGTGTATTGTGTAAGAACGAACAAATCTGTCTTGGAAGAAGTACAGCCAGAATGCTCCTTAGGAGCAAGGATGGCGAGATTTTGTTTCACTTACTTCGGACATGTTATCAGGAGGGACCAGTCCCTGGAGAAGGACATCATGCGTGGTAAAGTAGAGGGTCAGCAAAAGAAAGAAAGAGAGGAAGAACCTCAAAGAGGCGGATGGAGGATGGACACAATGGCTACAATGATGGGCTCAAGCATAGCAAAGATTGTGAGGATGACACAGGACCAGGCAATGTTTCATTCTGCTGTATGTAGGGTCACTATGAATCAGAACCAACTCGAGGGCACCTAATAACAACAACATGTAAACTATCTGGCAGTTTACTGTAAGGCTAAACTTATGACCCAGCAGTTCTACCCCTAGATATTTATCCAAAAGAAATTAAAACATATCCACAAGAACACCTATATGGGAATATCTATAGCTGCTTTATTCATAATGGCAAAAAACTGGAAACAACCCACATATACATCAAAAGGAA